AACTCTGATGAATAAGATCTGATGAATAAGAGGAATTGTCCTCAATTTCGTCTGAATTGTGAGACGTCTCGAAATTTTTCCCACAATTCTAAAAACCAATTTAGTAGTTCTTTATTCAAAATTTCAGGCATTAACACAAAAAGCCAAGAGTGTTTATGCCTTGAATTAATAAGTAAGAAAGCTCGATTCATAGCTTGGACATAGGTCCAGTAATTAAAAGTAATTAGGTCCAGTAATTAAAAAGAAATGATTTTTTCTGATTACTTACAAGATGAATAAATTCAACATGTATAGTCTCGAAAAGACTTAAACCCCAATCTCTCTGATGTAAGATGTGATTTATTGTCGCATTGCTATATGCAATTGATTTATTTGGTTCATTATAATTATGTTAAATTTCAACACATTGTAATGAAATGAGGATTGCCTCATACGATTCTCGATCAAGACTATCTTGAGCATAGGAAATTGTGCCTAAATATCTTTTTTGGATTTTTCAAGGATCATTAATTTCATAATCCTCTAGATTGATTTCGATGATTTTTTCTTTCGTTGTTTTTTGCACAAATTCTATGCCTTCTTGGATTTGTAAATCCTGAGATTGATGAGATTTAGTTTCTGATGTGGAAGTCATTGTGCTACTATTTAGATATTGTTGTAAATCAACAAATTTTCGTGGAGCCACATTAGGTTGGCCCCTACCTCTCCCCCCTCTACTCTTGAAATTTGTAATACTAAAATTTTGAATAAAGAAATACCAAATTGGTTTTTAGAATGGTGGGAAAAATTCGGAGCCACCAATGAAATTCTTCCAGAACCCATCAATGATCTCTATCCAATGTGGGTTAACTCTTCTCCACAGCTCGGGAAAATAAAAAATGAAATTATAGCCGATGAAATGTGTGAATTATTATTTTTTTGCCAGGCACAAATTTCATGGATCTTTGATTGGAATCTATGTCATCAATAAGATAGAGTCAATGTCAAAGGATTATGGTGGACCTTCTTCATCAAATGGTGGTCACAAATCGTTGTTGGTGATTAAATAATTCAAATTAATAAAGTCATTAATTCTAATGTCGGAAATAATCAAGAACAGAGATCCCAAGAATTTTCACTTAAAGAAATTCATGATCAAATTAAAAGGAAATATCCTCGAGAATCTCGGGATCAAATCAAACAAAGAATACAAGCACTTTATCAAAAACAGATGAAAGAATTATTTGAAGCAGAAGACGACGTATCAGTCTCTAATTAAGGGTCAGATAACGAAGAAAATTGAGAGTGAATGGTGACCCACCTCGGCTCAAATTAAAGGAAATGGACCTCCACTGAGGTCATTTCAGAAGAAATTATGGGTAATAATGACAGCGGTTGAAATAGTATCGGTTGGTGGAATAGTGATTGCAATAATTCTGATTTGTGTAATAAAATTTTAAAATAATTTACTGCTTTATGTCACATCCAACAGATGTTTTATCTTTTGTTTAATTCTATTGTATTAAGTTTTGAGTCTGCATTGTATTATAAATAGGGGCCTTGTTTTATATACTGGTGTGCATGTTTCCTTCGAGTCCTTTCATTGTAATATAGAAGAGTCTATCTGGTGTGCTCTTCCAGTCTTGTGCTCTGTAAGTTTGTACTATTTTTAATATATATTTCTAGTTATTATATCCTGGTTTTAAATTAGATCCCTGTTCTCAATTAATTTTTACATTATAATTAATGACTTTATTAATTTGAATTATTTTATCACCAACAACGATTTGTGACCACCATTTGATGAAGAATGTTTGCCATAATCCTTTGACATTGACTCTATCTTGGTTATGGAATAGATTCCAAGCAAAGATCCATGGAATTTGTGCCTAGAAGAAGAATAATAATTCACACATTCCATCAACTAGAATTTCATTTTTTATTTTGTCGAGCTGTGGTGAAGAGTTAACCCACATTGGATAGAGATCATTGATGGGTTATGGAAGAATTTCATTGGTGGCTCCGAATTTTTCCCACCATTCTAAAAACCAATTTGGTATTTCTTTATTCAAAGTTCCAGGCATTAACAAAAAAGCCAAGAGTGTTTATGTCTTGGATTAATAAGCAAGAAAGCTCGATTCATAGCTTGGACATAGGTCTAGTAATTAAAAAGAAATGATTTTTTTCTAATTACTTACAGAATGAATAAATTCAACTTGTTTAGTCTGGAGAGGAGTTAAACCCCAGTCTCTCTGATGCAAAATGCGATTTATTGTCGCCTTGCTATATGTAATAGATTTATTTGGTTCATTATAATTATGTTGAATTTCAACACATTGTAATGAAATGAGGATTGTCTCATATGATTCTCGATCAAGACTATCTTGAGCATAGGCAATTAAGCCTAAATATCTTTCCTGGATTTTCCAAAGATCATTAATTTCGTAATCCTCCAGATTGATTTCAAGAATTTTTTCTTTCGTTATTTTTTGCACAAATTCTGTGACTTTTTGGATTTGTAAATTCTAAGATTAAGGATATTTAGTTCTTAATGTGGAAGCCATTGGGCTACCATATAGATATTGTTATAAATCAATAAATTTTCGTGAAGCCACATTAGGTTGGCCCCTACCTCTCCCCCCTCTAAAGGTGAAAGCACCCTAATGGGGTATCAATCTAACCCTTTGATGAGGGGTGCTCCACCCCTCCTTGTCTTTCTCCCTGCAAAAATTCACGAGTGAGAAAGTCAAGTAAGGAATTAGTATTACCTACAATATATTCTATATCAAATTCAAAACAAGATAACTGAG